TCTTTTACATCATTTGATAGATTCATACCTGTACAATGATAAAAAAAATCTTTTATTTCTCTGACGTTTTAACAATTGACAACACGTCTTGCAGATTTTTAAAATACAGTCAAACATGTTCTTTTAAAAATGTCATAAATAATATATGAACTGTTAACTAACCATTAGATATAACTGTTTAAAAATTCGCCAAACCCTCAAAGAAAAGTTATGGGTGTCGGATGGAGTGCAAGTGATGACATCAGTCTGATCAGATTCGTTGGTTTTGGCTGTAATTTCCTCAACCACCACACTCCATTCGCTGATCAGATAACATCATAATAGCGAGCGCAGCGAGCGTCGCGAAGCGACGCTCGCGAAGCGAGCTCAATAGACTAACGTGTAAGAACAGAGGAAATTCGGATTGAAATATGTACATACGTCAGCCAAATTTCTCTGTGCAACATTCCCAGAATTCCTGCACTACCCAATGTCCTTTGCGTGAATATTGCCGAATAAATAAATAAATAATAACGTAATGCATATATCAGGCTTTCAGTTTGTAGAAATCTTTCAAAGAAACAAGAAATAACTCTGCAATGTTTTTCGACAAAAATTGCACTATTTCTATAGTTTCAAACAGACGCTCGGCTGTCTCCGTAAGCTCCGACGAGCTTTGTGACGTCGAATGACGTCACAGCTAGTCGAGATATCTCGTGCGGCTTGACGTTCGAAGTGGCTGATCTCATGTGTTTTGATGGTACAACTGCGCTCGCCCCAACGGTCACACCGTAAAACATATTAGAATAATCACCAGCCTGATCAGCCCATAAAAACCGTCATACATTTACTACTGTCCTTAAAACATTTATAGCGAGCGCAGCGAGCGTCGCGAAGCGACGCTCGCGAAGCGAGCTCAATAGACTAACGTGTAAGAACAGAGGAAATTCGGATTGAAATCTGTACATACGTCAGCCAAATTTCTCTGTGCAACATTCCCAGAATTCCTGCACTACCCAATGTCCTTTGCGCGAATTAATCAAAAATAGTAAAAAAAATAAAGGAACATTGTTTCTTACTGAAATCTTAACGAAATGATTTTGCCTTACCTTATTCAAAAAAATACCCCCATGCCACAACACCGGCCTTCACCTTGCTCTTCGGAAATGATACAAATGACGTCACCGGAAACTTACGAATTTTGACGATATGCTAATTAAGTCATGTCGGTTGCTTCCGTGAAATAGATAAATAAATAAACAATAAATAAATAAACAATAACGTAAAGCATAAAAAGCTTTCAGTTTGTAGAAATCTTTCAAAGAAACAAAAAATAACTCTGCAATTTTTTTCGACCCAATTGCACTAGGTCTATAGTTTCGAACAGACGCTCGGCTGTCTCCGTAAGCTCCGACGAGCTCCGTGACGTCGTGTGACGTCACAGGTAGTCGAGATGTCTCGTGCGGCTTGATGTTTGAAGTGGCTGATCAATTTTTAGAGTGTTTTTGATGGTACAACTGCGCTCGCCCCAACGGTCACACCGTAAAACATATTCTGTTTTGAAAAACCTAAAATGTTTCACATTTCATCTCTGACTATAAAACGCTTGTAGAGTTTTTTTTAAAGGGTCAATAGTGGAAGCGTTTACATGATTCTGATCACAACTAAGTAAAATTCAAACAATGTACGGTCATTTCCGGATTTTTTTAATATGATTGAAGTAAAGTTCGATCGGCGATTATAAAAAAAGGATTGAATGGAATTTTTATTTTTTTTCCAAAACTTAGAAAAATGGAGTCGGCGGATCCGTAAAACAACCAATAAAAAATTTTTGGCCTTATGATAACATAAATTTACTTCGAATTTTCTGTTGGAAAATTGTTTTTAAAAATAAAATAAGAAAGCTAAAAGCCGGCGAGCCACACCGACATGCACACTAACTGCAGAACTGAATGTAGTTTTATGGGAACCGATGTCCATTCCATTTTTTTTTCAGACCATCGAGCACAGGTCTTCAATTACATGCACACTAAATCATTTAAACTAAAAAACTTCAATCATAATCCTTTCAGTTGTTTACAAAGTTTGGTTTAAAACTTATGCGCTGAATCTAAACGATAAACTACTGTATACATGTACGAGAAATATTATACATTTATTGACCGAGTTCGAGAGCAACATGCATTTTGTCGACCATCGAACCAAACTTGGGTGGTGGGTCGACAAAACTCATTTTGCCCGAGGACATGGTAATTAAATGTATAATCACATACATGTAGAATTGGCCGCCGAATAGAGATAGACAAAATAAGTTAAAGTTAACCAATTAATATCTATTGTGTAAGTTACTTGTATCAGAGGACCAATGAGAGAAAAGCTGGTTGACAGTTAGCACCGCCCACTTCTCCTGTCAAGCGTGGTCCGGAGTCTGTATAAATACAATGTACCTTTCTCCATCTGAAAGGATCGTATTTTGAATGCTGCGTCTGGGGTTTCGACGATCAAAAAAATCGGAATGACTGATATCATTATTGGATCCGTGTGACGATGTTGCAGCTTAGACAGAGGACTTTTTGTCAGGAACAGATGTAGCGATCGTAAACTTTTTTATCTTAGGCTGTTATTCCTTTCGAAGATAATTTTTTTTTGAGGGGGGGGGGGGTCAACGGAAAACTTTACATTTATAGCGACAAAAACCGCAAAATGATTTCTTACATTTTATGCCCCCCCCCCCCCCCCCGGTTCCTAGTCTTCCGACGCCAATGTCAAGTAAAAAAGACGGGGACCATTTACATGTTTAATGTGAAATTACTATTTGGAGACAAGAATAAGAATTAAGGCAATTCGAGATACATATAGAACGTATAAAGTTAACAGGATACACTAAGTTAAATATGGAGCGAATGTCGTTAAATTAATTTTAGTATTCTTGAAGTTTAAAATGTTGATTAAACTCATTTACTCAGTATCTAATAACACGACGATATATCTTTTTAAAAAAAAGAAGCAATGACGTCATCAAAAAGGCGAAAAACTGAGTAGGGTCATCAAACTAACGATAAAATAGTAAACTGTTTAAAGTATGATGGTGATTTTTTTCAACACTTCCTGTACCTTTTTGTTTCAAGTTCTTTTAAATATTTTTATCGGCATGAATCTCATGGCATCAGTCCACTAAAACATGAAAACCCACCAATAAACATTTTTTTCCTCTAACAAATATGATTTTCAAAAAGATTTCAAACATACGAATTGATTCAAATATTTGCTATTAATAATGAAAAATGAATTAGTAAGCATGGTATACTATCACATGTAGAACAATAAATTGCATTTTGCGTTTGTGAGAGAAATTTAATGAATCTACGTACATATGAAAAATGCATGTTAGCTGGATATGTCTTGAAATATTATATCCCATTCTTGTTCATGACGTCGCATAAATCAACGTCAAAATATCGCAACGTTAACGTAAACAATGCTACCTTTACAGCTATATAAAACATAAATAAAGCTCTGTACAGGTATATATTGATAATTTCATACAAAATATACACTCTTTAGAAGAACCTAAAGGAATATTATTAATTTTGACACGGGGCCGAATTTTGCGACAAGTGAATCAGGTTCTTTGTTTCAATCATATCTGAATTTTAAATACATGTATTGAACACTGTGTTTGTGTTTTTATGGGAGGGGGGGGGTCAAATTGTGTTGCTTAATATAACAATCAAAACTATGCTACAATATTTTTTGTATACCTATAATATTATAATCAAAACATTTCTTAATTTCGAAGCATTAATTTTAAACAGATATAATCGATTTCTACGGTTAAAAGTTTAGTTTAAAACTTCGTTTTTAAATGTAGTTTTTAACCTAGATCTCTGAAAGAAATTGATAAATATTGTGTCATTTCTTTCGAACTTAGCCATTCTTCCATGTAAACAAACGAAATGTCTTTAAAGTTGAATTATATGATGTCGGAAAAATTACAGAAACAACTGATTTTCTTAATTTATGTAAAAGAACAAGTTACTAACCCTAATTCATCGATGGTATGCAATCACTCACCACGTTCAGATAAAATCTCATGGGCAGATGCTAAACTAACCCTAATCGAATAATGTGCGAGGACTAACCCTAATCTCTCGGATGGATGCGAGACTAACCCTAATCAGTCGAATACTAGTGCAAGTACTAACCCTAACCTCTCAGGTGGGTGCAAGACTAACCCTAATCAGTCGAATAGTGTGCAAATTTAACCCTACGTCATAGTCCAATGAGCGCGAGGATCTTGCGGATCTGGGGACCGGTAAAGTAAAGTCTACCCAACAGATATGTAAAAATTGCAATATTATATGTTATTTATGTTTCTCATATTTTGCAATATTATTCACAAACTTGTTTGCATTTCATCATATATGAAAGTACCATGTGCCTTCCAGCATCTCTTGTATTGAAACATCAAATACGTTTTTTTTTTTCGTAATTAACCTCAAAGAAGCTGTCTTTTCTTATAGACATCCGCTTAAGACAAGAATTGCAACTCCATATTTGTGCATCAGTGATATCATTCTTCTTAATGATTTTCATCTGACATCCACATGTGCAAATATTTCAGTTTTGAGAAGTCCATGATCTCTCATGAATGAAATACAAGATTCCGTAGAATTTATGCATTCCGTAATAAAAATTCTCATCCCTAGTGCCCTGCCAGTCTCAATTTCAATTGTAACTGAAGCTATCGGTCTTGAATATCAAACTTTTGTGCATCGGAGTTTATGTGTTGTAACCATGATGAATTTTTTTTTTCACAAGAATATAATTCGAAATAATGACGTCATAATTAGGCGTTATAATCAAGTTAAAAAAAAATTTTAGCGTCAAAAGGAACGCATGAAATAAAAATACGGCAACTGTATTGTTGCTATTGTTGTGTTTCTATGGAATTAATTTTGTCATCAATTGTTGAGTTTTGTAAATATGAAATCAATTACTTGGATGCATTCATAGGTTTAAGATGTCTTTTTCAAAATTTTCGGAGAGTGACGTTTTTGAAACTTATCGAGCCGCATTTTCTATTCCTATTGATTGGAGTTCGATTTTTGAAGATGAAATTTATCAATGGCTTTCGATATTTGAAAAAGGAAAGAATTGTAATTTGAGTCTCACAATCCCAGCACTGCTTGGCCTAACTGCATCGCTTTCCGGACCAAACACTCGTATAAAGGGGCACGGGAATGGATTTTCTACCTCTACGAACCTTTATCTCTTGGCAGTTTGTGATCCTGGCGGTGGAAAATCAATTACTTTTGAAAACGTTATAGAACCAGTGTTGTCTCATATTTTCGAAAAAACTGGAATTAGAATCGGAAACGAATCATATACATCGGCGGGTTTGCAGAGACACCAGATTGCGTCGAAAGGGACAGGTATAATTACATCTGATGAGGGTCACCGATTCTTGGCATCCGTCAATGCCAAACAGGCGAAGGGAGAGGCAGAAAGATCGTACCTTTGTAAGATGTGGAGTGGCAAAGGAGATTATGTTGAACTGTCAACGGGAAGTAGGGGATTTCAAAAGACTTCAATGTCAATGTGTATATACATTCAGCCTCATCCGTTAATGTCAGAATTGTCTAACTTTAGTGGGGCTGATGGATTTATGGACAGAATCTTATTAGTAGTCTCTAGGCCAGTATTATTTCCAACTGCAATTGTCAAAGAGAATTATGAATTATTGAGGGAAACCGGAATGGAAAGTGTTAAAGATACATTTTATTACATGTATTTGAGCCTCAAGGAAGGGGTGGAATATACCCTATCGGAGGATGCTCAGAGTGAATATGACGGGATGGTGGATTCCTATGCAGAATTACTAGATGAGAAATATCAGATGCATCTGGGTATGTTAACATTTTTGATATCAAAGTAAAACGTACGGGAAAAATGTAAGAGTTATCTTCCTTAGACTATCATAGACACTAACACTGCTGTGGATCCTAATACATAATATTAAAGATTAATAACTTTACTTTTTTCTAACGAAATCTTAGAACCTAAATATTTTTGCGGCTTTTTTTACCCCAGAAAATAGGAATTTGATTGAAAATGAATTTCATTTTGCAATATTTACATTGGCTGTGTGTTTCTATACTAAGCCAACTGTGAAATTGATTTGAAAATCATTTTTGTGTATATACGCACGAGTAGAAACGTGCGTTAAAATGACGTCACAATGAGGCTGCAGCGACTTTAGTAAAAAAAAATGCAGCGATATAGGTCAGAGAGAAATTTAAATATTGAGTATATTTTAGTTGCTTCCGAACATGTAAAATGCGCGCTTCATGAAATATGATTACGTGACAAGTCTGTGTGATTCCCACACCAATAACTCACACAAAACTTAAAAAAACATTCCTTAATTACAGATGAAGACGAAAATAAGGAAAATGTAAATGACATAGACATTGCCTGCACTCAAACGAACCTGTGCATGTCCACCAGTAAAGACACCATACACGTATTGAGGTTGGCAGCAGCCATACACATTCTCTCTGAGTTCCTTAAAGCAACTCTAATGAAGGTCCTTGATTTGAACTGGAAAGTCGAGGACGTCATATCACTTGCTTGCCTGAGGAGAGCGAGACTGCTTTACAGCTGCCTTGCGAGACAGAAATCAATATTTGCCCAGGTAATTGTAATTTAA